AGCGCCTGATTTCCCCACAACGCTTCACATATTTTCAGCGACACACCGAGCCAGCCAAACCATATCTTGTAATTACATACATGTGCTAGGCTTAGTAAGCAGAATAGTATTCAAATGTCTACACACCATTGTACACACCGGGCTATATGAGGTTACCAACGGGGGACGGAGCTGAATTACAGCATTACTGTCTGCCCACATTAAGGTTAAAAAAATAGGATACGATATTGTAGGCTGAACTAGAGTTATAATAGTATTAGATGACATTTATAGAGCGCTTAACCGCGATTAAAGAACACAGGATTTGGGCGCTTTACCTACTACTATCATCATCATCATCATCATCATCATCATCATCAGCATCATCAGCATCATCAGCATCATCATCATCATCATCATCATCATCATCATCATCATCATCATCATCATCACCATCATCATCATCATCAACGTTGCCTTTCTCACCCTGCATCAGGGTATAGGCCACGGACAAACACTTTCCACCTTTCTCTATCCTGGCCTAGCCTCTTGATGTTATTCCATGTCTTCCCTCTTTTCTGTACGTCAATTTCTGTGATTCTTCTCCAGGTTCTACGCGGTCTTCCCTTTGATTTTTTTACCCTGTATATTCCAATCCAACTCTTTCTTTGTTATGCAGCTGCCTGACTTCCTGAGAGTAAGTCCAATCCATCGCCACTGCCTTCTTCCTACCTCAGCATATTATAAAAATAAAAAAGTTGATAAGAAAGGCATCAAGAACAATTGGTAGAGACCTAAGTAACTTTGAATATCTGCACAAGACAAACGTTTCAACTATCGACCCGCAGTAAACGATACATTTCCCAAAAAAGCAAGAACAGACAGATATAGAAATTCATTTGTACCAACTGCAGTGAGGTTACTGAACACACAGTGCTACAAATGAAAGAGAGAGAGAGAGAGAGAGAGAGAGAGAGAGAGAGAGAGAGAGAGAGAGAGAGAGAGAGAGAGAGAGAGAGAGAGAGAGAGAGAAAGAGAGAAAGAGAGAAAGAGAGAAAAAGAGAAAAAGAGAAAAAGAGAAAAAGAGAAAAGAGAGAGAGAGAGAGAGAGAGAGAGAGAGAGAGAGAGAGAGAGAGAGAGAGAGAGAGAGAGAGAGAGAGAGAATGAATGTTTTACAGAGAGGGAGACATGAGACGTGAGACATGTATTTACTTGGCCTACTGTCCTGTCTAGTAGTGCATTTACGTGAGTGCACCTTTAAGTCTAACTTTTGTAACGTCTTCTGCCATTGTTAACGACCAAGACAAATTTCTCCCTGCGAGATGAATAAAGATTGTCATCGTCATCATCATCGTCACCATCATCGTCATCATCATCGTCATCATCATCGTCATCATCATCTCTGATCGGGATCTGGCTTGTTTTCTTTAACACTTCCTCGTTGGTGACCCTGTCTGTCCATCTGATCCTCAGTAACTTTCTTAGACACTTGTTCAAGAAAACCTGGATCCTCTTGCAACTACAAATACAATAGTGTGGGTGGTTGGCGGGTGCTTTGGTGTGGTTTGCTCCTTCAGTCTTATTGAACATCTATCGTCCTAATCTCTCCTTCTTTTCTTGTGGTTGCTACTCTCTTGTAACACCTCTAATCTTCGACACTTATATGATCTTATTGTTTTGCAAGTGCCGTAAAACTCTTACTGAAACAAAATACAATAGTAACACATATTAAATAATACTTTGTGCTCTGACAAAAAATCTATCTCATTAATGTAAAGACAGAAATGACTTTAGCTCCCATTTGAATGAATAAAACGACTTTATCTCTCTTAAACTACCGGGCAAAACACGAGTCTTGCTTGATTCGTTATCATGTAGCACCCCCCCCCCCCCTTTCCCCTTCTTTTCACCCTTCATTGTTTACTGCTTCTTTCTTGCAGACGTTTACTATCGTCCTTATCTCTGTCTCTCCTCCTTCTTTTGTTAGTATGTTATTCTCTAGTACACGTAATACTTCTAATCTTAGGTACTTATACGACCTTGGTGTGCTCAAGTTCCGTAAAACTCTCTCTCACTCAAACGAAATTATTGATGAAACGCCCCGAGTTCTGTGAACCGTGTATTGTCTCTTGTTTAATGTTCCGTTCTGTTTGGTAAAGTTCGTTTATTGCGCTCGCACCTCATGACCTTGCAACCTTACTCCCTCAAGAGAAAGACGAGCTGCAGCTGTCGTGGGAGTCTATTTTAAATAATCATATTCATAATTTATGCAAATTGTGTTTGTGTTCCCTGGAACGTATCAACGACGTAAGCCTCCCGCCTAGCCCTTGACAGAAAATGTCACCTCCCTTCGACATCTTTCTCTAGACACAAGAGGAACTGGTCGCTGTTAACCATATCCGTACGTCGTGTTTTACTATAGTACCCATTCGACGAGGGGTACTCTGTGCCATCACTTTCAAAGAGGGAATTTACTCGATCTTTTTTTAGAAATACTGAAAGTTTCAAAGAGATCTTCATACTAGAAGTATTCTAAAATGTGAAGAATTCAACCCCGGGGGTACAAAATGACCCCAGGGCGTACGGATAGCACAAGGGGGCTATCCTGAAAAACGCTGTTTTGAGAAAATCGAAAGTTAACTTTCTGAATCCTTGTTCAGTTTCTTTAAAATACAAGGAGAGTTTTCCCTATAACCAAACTATTATACACACCAATGACACCAAACTTCTCCTATAGGTAGGGCAATGTCCACTTTTGGTGTAGGTCAAGATTTCTGGAAACCCCCGAAATCTGGGTTAGCCCGCTTATCCATAGAAACGACCAATTATAAAGTAAAGTGAGTTCCCTGAAAACACGCTTCCAAAGCCTTCTTACTGACGTTTGTGATTCTCCAGTGAGGAGAATTTTGATCAAGTATCTCGATCTTTCTGGGGTTGGCGGGTGCTCTAATGTGGTTTGCTTCTTCTTTCCTGTCAAACATCTATCGTCCTTATCTCCCCTTCTTCTTTTGTATGTTTGTTACTCTCTTGTAACAGCTCTAATCTTCCGTAGTTTAAGTAGAAGTTTTACGGCGCTCATATGACCTTATGCAGTTGCGTGCGCCGTAAAACTTCTACTAAAACTAAACTAAACATCTTTCTGGTGAGATGTTCTATCTCCCTCAGTTCAGCCCAGTTTGGTCCTAATAGGCAGGTTCGAAGCCTGCCGCCCAAGTAATGTAAATTGATCAAACTGGGCGTAAAAATACTTAATTAAAAAATGAATTATACTACATGACTACAACCTTACACCTTCTGATGAAAGACGAGCTGTAAATGCTGTAGTGAGGCTCTGTTTAAAATTTTCATGGGCAGAAGTTATATAAATTATGAAAATTGTGAAAATTATGACAATTACGTAAGTTATGAAAATTATGTACATTTTGCATTCCCTGAAAACACGCTGTTGAAGCATGGGTGGTTGACAGGTGCTCTGGCGTGGCTCACTTTTTTTTCCCTATCAACCTGCTATTGTCCTTCTCTCTCCCTCCCTCCCTCTCTCTCTCTCTCCATCTCTCTCTCTCTCCATCTCTCTCTCTCTCTCTCTCTCTCTTTCTCTCTCTTTCTCTCTCTCTCTCTCTCTCTCTCTCTCTCTCTCTCTCTCACTTTCCTCCTGCTCCTCCTCCTCCTCTTTATTTTCTTTGTATGTTACCCTCTAGTAACATCTCTAACCTTCGGCACGACCTATTCGTGCTGCAAGTGTCTTAAAACTCTTAGTTTATTAGTTTATTAACTACCCCCCGGGGCAGTGCCACTGACTGTAGTATCTTTAGGCCATTCTCAAAGGGGGGGGGGACATTTCTCGTTCAAGCACAGTAGAATTGTAAATGGGCTGATTCATGTCACGCTCATAACTGTGCCTGATCTACAACAGGGAACTGCTGCTTTTTCTTTCCTGATCCTTACTATTGTCATTTTCCTCTACTTCTTTTGTATGTTTGTCTCTCTCTTGTGACCTGCTATTTCCGGGGTGCCTTGATAGTCGAAGCAGACCTTGTGCTGTTGAAGCTAAAGAGGTGAGCAGTTTAAGTCTGATTCCCTGTAAAGACTTCTCTGTTGACATACACCCCTTGGCGCTCATATGACCTTATTAATATGCAGTTGCGAGAGCCGTAAAACCCTCTACTATAAATAAATAAATAAATAAATAAATAAATAAAGTTTATTAACTAAATCTTGTGTTCCCTGAAAATACGCCGCCGAAGACTTCTTTTGAAAACATTGTGTTTTGTTGACGGGAGAAGTTTTTACAGACTGGCATCTTTGGTGAAGCGGTTAGGCTCCTCACCGTCGGACGCTGAAGATGTCAGTTTAATTCACAAGCTGAGACGACAGGTTTTCTAGGGCATCTCTGCGTGTCTGCTTGGACATATTATTGTCCCTCACAGCCGAGGTTGGTCCTGACAGACACGGTCAAAACGCACCTTCTAAGTGTTTTAAATTGTGATGATGCAAGTGTGGCTTCGGTGTCCTAGTGGTTAAGCTCTCGGACTCGCAACTGTACTGTCATGGTTTTCAATTTCTTCAGGGCCCGACGTTGTGTCCTTTGGAATGGTACTTTACACACATTTTCCTCACTTCACCCAGATGGGAATGGGTACCAGGTTCTAGAAAGCAAAAGATCTTGTCAGTTTGTTAGTGTTTGAGCGCGTGAAATCCGCAGTTTGCTCTGTATCCTTCCTAAGAAGCGGGAAATGTTTCGGAGTGTTTCAGGGTCTGCTAGCGTATTCATAGTTGTAAAACACATACAGCATGCTGTAGAACGTGAACATGCGCTATATATAAATGATTTTGTGCTGTTGAGACTAGAGAGGTGAGCAGAGAAAGCCTGATTCCCCGTTTGAACATCTCTGTTGACTTCCTCCCCTGTACGCTCATATGACCGTATGTTGTTGCGAGTGTCGTAAAACCTGACTAAAACTAAAGCTAACTAAAGACACCTGTGTTATTTTTTTAAAATGTTTTCTCATTCTCTTCTACAGATTCCTCGCACAAGCCTTTTACTTGTCACCGACGCAGAGACACTGCTACCCCAGTCCATCTCTTCAGCGACCGTTGACGAAAAACCTCATCACAAACCCGTCGCTGTAAAACGCCGTAACAACCACCACAGCTCCCAGATTTACGAGGAGTTCTGTCTCCGAGCTGGTTCATGACAACTTCCGGAACGGACAAATCTGGACAAGGGTCATACTCTTGTCGTTTCTCTCGAAATATATTTTTAGTCAGGCTGTGACTATTTATAGATTTGTTCATAGGCTGTGAATATTTATAGATTTTGTATCTCTTCTGAGTATTCCTGGAAATCTGTAAGTCAAATATCTTCATTTTCCTTAATTTTAAATTTCGTTTAATGCGAGAAAATTTAGCTAATGCTGAAGACGTTTATTCCTCTAAATGAAAGTGAGCTTCCTCTTATTTTTATAACATTTATTTTCCATCCATTGCCCTTTCGGATGTAACTGGTAGCTGAAATCAATACACGGGTTTTTCGTGGTGAAGGGAGAAAGTAAGATAAACAGAGAGAGTGGCTAGAGTCAGCTCGGAATATGCTGTATGAAAGGATGAGAAGCAATCTGAGGAAGTGAGGGGACGTGACAAAGTCAAAGACAGATTGTAGAAAACATACACAAACACACACAAACACACACACAAACACACACACACGCACACACGCACACACGCACACACGCACACGCACACACACACACACACACACACACACGCACACACGCACACGCACACGCACACACACACACACACGCACACACACACACAAACACAAACACACACTCACACACACCATTTCGTGACATTTTGCTAGCTGCACATATAGATCTAGAGGATTGTTTTCACCTCAGTCTCGGAAAAAAAATTGTTTTCATGTCAGTCTGAGAGAAAAATACTTAGAAAAGACAGCTGATCAGTCTGTCTATAAGCCGCCTTGTCTGGGTATTGATTTCAACAGTGAACGCTCTTTCGACGCTCTGGCATTAGAGTTCTCATTCTCCTAGAGATTTTATTTGGGGTTCTTCTTTTCTTATTTGATCGAGAAATATATGACGTTGATGTTAAGGAGACATATTATTATAACATACCGAGTCCTTTTTCATAACCTTCAACAAATTACTCAGTGATACTCAAAGCGCCAGGCACTTTTAAGACTTAATTGTGTTTCAAGTGCAGTAAAACTCTCACTAAAACACACACACGCACACCAAAACTCTAAGCACATTAAAAAGTCGCGAAGAGCTTAATTTACTGAATACAAAGAATCCTTACTTGGCAGTTTTCCCGCGCTATCTGACGAGGCAGCCATGTCGGACGACGCTCCGCATTCTTTCCGGACTTCCGTTCCACCGCACGACGACGGCGACAAACATGCGCAGAACGGGTCGCGGACCAAAGAGCCGAAATTCACGACGCTCGCCCACCACGAGAAAGAGAAAATGGGCGAGGATTCGCAGTGGGTGCAACACACGAGCGTGCACACTCGGGACGAGACGATCTCCTTCTGGAAGCTATTTTTAGACAACTGGATATACGTCATGACCTACTGCACGACCTTCGGAAGTTTCGGAGTGTGTGTCGGCTTCCTGGGACCCACCGTCTTCGACCTGGGCTGCCAGACGCACTCTGACCTCAAGGAAATGAACTGGGTGTTTTTCGTACAGCTCATCATGACCCTTGTAGGATCCATCTCGGCAGGATTCCTCGCCGACAAGTGAGTACCCTACTTTTTCTCTCTTTTCTCTAAAGTACTCTTGTTTATGAGTACCCTACTTTTCTCTTTTTTAAAGTCGTGAGTACTCTTGTTTGTGAGTACCCTACCTTTTTCTTCTTTCTCTCATGAGTACACTTGCTTGCGAGTACCTTGCTTTTCTCTTTTCTTTCTCGTGGGTACACCTCTTTTGGAGTACACTACTTTTCTCATCTACGAGCTAGAGGGTACATAATAATATTTTTTGTGAGTGCACTTTTCATTTGTTTTTCCAAAGTGTACCTCTTTCTACTTTTCGTGATTGTATATTTCTCTCCTATCTTGAGAACGCTTTTTCTTTGTGTGTACACCTTCCTCGTTAATCTCAAAAGTACACAATCTCTTTTATCTCGAGAATACATATTTAGTTTAAAAGTGCACTTCTTTCACATGAGAAGGCCTACACTTTCCTCTTCTACCTCGAGAAAGGTCTTCTTTGTGAGGAGTACACTTATCTTATTAGTCCACTTTTTTCTTCTCCCTCATGAGTACACTTCTCACATCTATCTCTTAGGTACACTTTTTCCTTTTTTCCGTAAGTACAGTCTACTTTTGTTTTCGTAAGTACTCTTTTTTATGTACGAAAACATATATAATCACGTTGCCGTGATGTTGTAGAGCATTACAGGTTTTTTTTATGATGTCCATCAATAAACAATCTTCTATAAATCCATTACGGCGAGGGTGATGTAGGGACAACGTAACACTTCCCTGTTAGGTTCACGTCTGTTAGGTCACGTTCGCAATTATAGCAGCTCACGAACATTGGCGTTACAAGGCAAAGAGACGTATTTGACAAAGTCGAGTTTTTTTTCTAAAGACAGGACGACTAACCTACAACCTAGTTAGTGTATGTACTAAAAGTACTTTGTCTAAGTAGTAAAGCTGCTTGAGTGAAAAGGGGGATTGTTTGCATTTTTAGCAAAATCATAAAATGTGCAGTTACGTCGATCTGCGCATGGACTGCAGAACTGCCTTGTCGTTTTCTGAGAAGCATTATGTTACATACATATTTATGATAAAAGTCTTGTTAATAGGTCAGAGAACGCACATGTTACCCCCCTTCCCCCACCTTTCCCCA